CCCTTTTTTTTTTTTTTTTTTTTTTTTTTTTTTTTACTTTTCCCCTCTCCCAGCACAAACGTGAAATGTGCCATCAGGTGCCGCTCTCCAGTAGCTCCCAGCACGGCAGCTCCATTTACCCAGGGCACGTTGCAACTGGAGCCCCAGCGCACACGTCTCCGTGCGGTGCTTGGCTGGAAATGTCAACCGGATCGTCAAGCACCTCTTAACCTTCACATCTTCACATCAAATGGGGGAGCAAATCCCCTGCAAGATCTGGGTTGCGAAGCAGGAGGAGGAGATGCTCTTAATATTCATGGGGGAGAGGGAGAAAAATCGATTTGCTACTAAATTTAGCCTCAAATGTCTAGTTTAAAAATAAACTTCCTGGAAACTTGTTGGTTTGAAGATTTATTCTGAAGGCCCAGAACGTGCCAGCTTGTTCCCTGCTCCGTTGGGCCAGCACAGCTTGGCCACTGGCCGGGCATTTCACGTGCTGCCAGAGAGGAGAGCATCATTAAATGCCCTATAAATTGGCAGAGCCTGGACCTTTGCTTCTTGAAGACAGCGACCCCATTGGCAATGCCCTTATCGAACTGAACACCAAATCCTTGTAACACTTTACAAAACCTTTGGGATGCAGACGGGGAGAATGTTTTTGGCAAAACCACTTCATCCACTGCTCAGGCGGCAGAGCCCTGGTTTGTGCTGATTTACTGACGCTCCTTAGCCAAGACGGCTAAACCAGACATTAATATTTCATCAAGAGAAAAAAATGCAAGACAAATTTGCTTTTGCACATCCTTTATTAAAAACCCAGCCGGGTTCCCCTTCCTCCCCAGCCCTTTGCCTCCCTGGGACCGAGGGGTTTGAGGGGGGGAGAAGGAGGGTTTTTTTTTACAGCGGGACCATTTAAATCTTGGTGCAATTTCCCCACTGATTTTAGCACATCTCTGAGGCTAGCAGCCATCCCAGCTGAATTAACAGTTTGTACCAAATTAACTTTAATTAGATAAAATACCCCAGTAATTTTATTGCAGTTTGGCCTTGTTGAGCATCGGAAGAGTAGCCGTAAGGTGGCTGTTCCTAGAGGATGTCCCATACGAGCTCCACCCCAGCCAAGACTTCGACGTGCCCTGTTCTCTCGGCTCCTCCACCCCCGTGGACCCTCCAGGAGTACCACATCAAGCAGGACATTTTTTTTTTTTTTGCAGCACCTGCAGCAGTTGCTCCTCTCCAAACAGCCTCCATCAGGAAGATGATGTGCTGCTGGTTTTCAGCAGAGAACAACCCGGCGCGTTGCCTATCTTGGGTCAAACTCAGCGTTTGCATCCTCCCACCATCTCCCAGGGTACGGTGAGCTCAGTGCAGGGGGGAAGAGACCAAACACAGCAATTAAATCTTTGTATGAAAACCCTATTTGGCCCTAAAGGAGTTTAGAAAGGTTGGATCTTACTCTGCCATCTGCCAGAACCCTTCAGCTTAGTTAGCTGCAGCTGCAGGTGACTCCTCCGTGGTGGCAGCAGCTGCTCACGCCGAAGTCTCCGCTGGCTCATTATCACTCCAGATCTTCGCTCCAGTAAACAGGTCTAACTGGCTGCAAAGATGATGTAAAAGTCTCCCAAAGAAGCTTTGCAGAAGGGATTCCTCCTGTCGGGGGGAGAGGTGAAGAAACCAGGTACGGAAGGAGCTCCAGCGATGCCGGGTCAGAGGAGGATCCTGAAGCTCCATCTCCCCGGGGCGGATGGACGGAGAGGCTGCTCTGGGCACGGTGTGTCTGGGTGCTGGAGCCGGGACAGGGCAGTTCCTGCGGGTAAACAGAGCTCTTCCCAGCTAAGATTAGCTGAGCTAAGCTGCCTGGTTTAGCCCAAATTCCTATAAAAGCATGCAGGAACCAAATATGTCTCTTAGTATCTGGGGAACACTGGAAACAGAAAGGTATTAGTTTGCCATCAGAGGGATTTTGACACTCAGGTGTTCACAGCAAATGCAGAGGAGGCGGAGTTCGAGTTGTTGTGTCATTCTCAGAGATGAAAGCATGCAGCTTAAGTTAGATATGACCACTGGAAAGGGGAGGAAACCCTCGCAGCTCCTACCTTCCAGAAGGGGTCTATGAATGTTATGAAGGGGTTTAAAATTTTGTACTATGTTAATAAGCAAAACTCTTGAGTTTATGACACACGCTATTAGGTCAGCACTTTGAAGAGCAGTAGCTTCTAGGTCCAGCTTTTGGAGCAGCCCTGTGTCTCCCCACACTTCCCTCCCGGCCAGGGAAAGCAGACCTTTAGGGCACGGGACAGCCCTAACCCTTGCAGAACATCAAAAATCTAAGTCCATCCTGACGGGACTTAAATCACCTCCTCGACCCCTCCTCCTGTTTTTAATAATAATTTTGGCACCTTTCTGGCTCTGGGATTTTGTACCTCTTCTGTTTTCCCAGATCTTCTCAGTGCTCTAAGTCGAGAAGCGTAGCCAGGCTGTGCCTGACACATTTGTACCCCAGAAACCCATGGAGAGCCTTCCCCAGATTCCCTCTGGGACAAGCACCCACCCCGTGCCTCCCCGTGCTGCTGGCCATGGCCATGCAAGCCCCACGCACTCGCGCTGCATAAAACCAGCAGAAGGGGCAGAGGGACCAGGTCTCTCTTTCTTTATTTTTCCTGCAGACAAAAAAAAAAAAATTAAAAAAAAAAAAAAATCCTAGTTCATACCCGTAGCACATAAGCAGCAGTGTTTATAATCAGTCTGTGGTTTAATGAAATACAGCAGCAATTCTCAGTTCTCTCCCCAGTGAGTCCCAGCAAACATTTCTGTTTGGTTTCTACGGGAGTGGCTGGGTCCCACGGAGACATCTCTCACATTGAAAGCTTAAAGAAAATTCACAAGTGGCTTTACAAAACGTTAACTTTGGGCTGTAACAAACTGGGCTTGCGAATTAATAGCTTCAAAGCTTCTGCTCGAGACAAGACACGTCAGAGATGGAAGCTTCCTCGTGGAAGGGTTGTTTATCCCTCCTAGGACCTATAGCTCACGTCCACCTCCAGCTGGCAAGGGAGCTGCCAGGAGCCATGAGAATAACGATATTCTGCTAAATCAGTGTGGCACTGTAAAGGGGACAGATTTCAGCGCTGACGAGGCAGTGCAAATAGTTCAGGAAAACATCTGTAAACACCTTTTACTCCTTCCTCAAGGAGAAGAACCATCACCTGCAAGTACCCAGGATCCATCAGCGGAAGAGGAGCCTGGTGCTGGAGCCAGAGGTCAGGGAGCCACTGACCCACGGACGAAAAGACAGACAGAAAGACAAGCCAAGCGCTGCGACGTGCAGCCCAAAGGCAGGCAACCCTCTGCATGGGGGTCCCAGGGACTGCCCAGGGGGAACGTGTGTCCCTGGCCTTTAGGTTATTTTTATTTCTGCACTGGGCAGAGCGTGAAGTAAAAACTGTGTGTGGATAAAGGTTTCCAGGAGAGCACACCTCCGGCCACCTCGTCTGCTCGCCCCTTCGTCACCCTGGTGAGGGACAGTGCCTCGTCTGGCTCCCCCCGGCGGGGTCCAGGGGGTGCTGGTGGCTCTCTAGAGAAGATGGAGTGGGGAAGGAGATGGGAGAGCCCGTCAGCAACAGGCTGCTGCAGAAGTGGGAAGGGTTGGTTTAAAGAAAAATCTCACTGCTAGAACAAAAGAAACTACTTCAGTATATTTTAATAGTAAAATGATTGCTATTTTTCGAGCCAAGTCCTGCCTGGATGAATCTTGGGAGTGGTTTTGCTCCCCGGTCCTGCTGCGCCAGGGCGAAGTCCCGGAGGTGGCGTGGCTCTACCTGCACCTGCCCGTGCAGAACAACCCCCGGCACGTCACAACGCGCGGCCAGCACCACCACCACCACCACAAACACCACGACACGGGGCTCGACTCCGTCTCTCTCTCTCTCGGGAGAAGAGCAGGAGGAAAAAACCCGAACTTTTAATAACAGTCTGGGTTGAGATTTGTAGCAGGCTACTGAACAGAGGAGATGCCAATATTTTATTTAGTAAAAAGGTACGTATTCAGGTAGCAGAACACCTTACAGTAACTAACTCGGCAGGAAAAGGTTAAAGTCATAGCACAGCCCTAGATTGATTGGGGGGAGTAGGACAGGGACGACGGCGGGGAGACTGTAAGGGAAGCAGCTTCAGACTCGAACCTTGGCTTCCAATAGAATGTATTCAGAAAAATATTGCATGAAAAGCCTCAGGATTTTAGTTCTTTCATAGATGTATATTTACCAGTTTTCACAAAGACTGCAGGAATACGATTATAAACAATAAATTAGGACTTCATGTTGCTATCATTTGGCATAACACAATCAGGCAATTTTTCCTTTTTAAATATAAGGCAACACAAGCCAACACATAATTTAATCCGTCTTTAGTCAAATTGCTTAACTTTGCTAAAGAGTTACCACTAAAGAACGGTTTATAGTACACTTAAAAGAATTTAAATAATGACATGATATAAGTGTACTAACTTACGCAAGGAGTCAGAAAACGTACTCTGCTAAGCTTTGAAACCTAAATATTTGTTACAGCCCAGGACTACACGTCTAAATTAAAAAAATACAAATAAATGTTTTCTAATTTTTCCATTTACGAAAAACTTTTAAGAATCTCTAGCCAACTATGACGTCACTTCAAAACTTGTTATTTTTTTTTTTTTTTAATTTTGTATGATGTCTTAAGATTTTAAACCATGCTCGTTAAGGAAAGTTCAAGGAGCAAATACTTAAGGCTTTGTTTTTCAAAGGGCTGTGAGGGAGGCCAGTGGATGGCAGAGGCCAGTGGGTTCACCCATACACAATGCTACTCAAACCCACACTACCAGGCGACATTCATACAGAAATATTACACTTAAAAGTTACAGTGTAGAGCAATATTTTTAGCCAGTGTACATATAAAGAATCAATGCATTTATTTTTTTTTACTTTCTTTTTTTTTTTTAATTTCCAAACTTGATTGTGATCATTATGTTCAAGTATTAGTCTCGTGAACAGAGATGAGAAATTTTCTACTTACAACAGATTCGGCTGTTAGAAAGGAAAGGTGTGTTTCGGTACACTGAGGAGAACAAGATGCTGAGGTTACCCAATAGTTAGTGTCCTACGGTCACTGACTCGACTAGCTGCTGGAAGTGACGTGGGAAAGGGACAGAAGGAGTTAGGCACCGAGACCCTGGGAAAAAGGGGTGTTACAAATAGCTTTGCTAAACCCCAGAGAGGAGAATGGTTCTGTTAAATCTGCTGTGGTGTTGTGACAGAGAGGAATAGGGGTCGTGGGTCCCACAGTGGCTTGTGAGCAGAGCTTTGCTTCAGATCGACCATCTCCCTTTCCCCCCCGGTACTGCGGCTGTGAGGGGCCCGAGCCCCGCTGCCCCGCGCCCGCTCACTGCACCGGGGACCAGCTCGAGTTACACCTCCTCACCCTGAAATTAATTCTAGCTATCGGAGAAGTGGCTGAACCCTTTTTGGAGTTGTCAGTGGGTCTGGATTCCCTTCACATCAGGACGGCCAGACTCCTAGCAGCGAGGGGTTCAGACAAAGTTAGCTCTTACGCTGGTGAAAGGGGAGCAGGGAAGGGACATATGATGCAGGAAAAAGGCAGCTACCCATGGCAGCTATGCTGCCTACGTCCTAAACCCACCATTCCCCCCTCCTCCATACCCTGTCTGCAAAAAAAATGAAAAAGTGTCAGAAAAATCTGCCAGAGACTTTTGACTTTGGACAAAGTCTAAACGATAAACGCGGGTGTCTCGGCAAGAAACAGCTGAAAAGCTTCTTCCTATATTAATGCCTAAATACATACCCCCCTAGCTAGCTCTTTCCAAATGTAGGCTTCTTTTTCAATTAAATAGGCCTCTAGACAGTGCAAATGGTCAATGTTTAATGCATTAATGAAATGGGCTTTCGAGTCAAAAATAAGCCCTGCTTCCTGACAAATTCTGTTGCTCTTAATCTTCAGAGGAAATTGAGATGGAAATTTAAGCAGCTACGCTACCTCGCTCTTGACGGAGCTGGCGAACAGATGCAACTGCGAAACCCTGCAGCAACTCAACATCAGTCCAGCAAGTAGCTACTAAGCAGAAGGCAAAAGCTGCACAAAGGGGATTCTGCGGTGAGGAAACAGCTGTGGCGTGAAGTAGTGTAATGAAATTCTTTGACACAAAAGGCATGTTAAATATTTGATGCACAAAGGAGATAGATAACATGTAAGCAAAGCTTTTAAATATACAGTATATCTTCTTCCAATGGTTACTATAATGATCACACAAGTTTGCAAGTTAAAAATGCCTTGCTTATTAATTAAAATTAAGACTAAACCTATAATTTTTGTCTGTGAAAGTGACTGCAGCCTATCTATACCCTGGGTGTTGAATATGAAGATTTCGACTATCGGTTGGTTCAGGTGCTCGGTTCATGGGAGGCCGATGGACTTTTCCCAACACGGCCATGCTCTGATCTCTGAAGCAGGACTGCTGGAAGTCCCCGCTTAGGTAATCCATGGTCTGCATCACATTATTCTGGCTGGATGGACCAGCTCCAGCTCTGTAATGAGTTCCCCCTGCACAATCTAGCGGCGCTCCTGCTGGCTGTCCCCCGTGGAAAGGCATGGTGAGGTCCTGGGACCCAGAGCTGTCACTGTTGGGTGTGGGCAGAATGTTATTCCAGATGGGCTGGAAATAGTGCCCATTGGTATATGGCAAGGGTCCCTGCAACCCGTTCACAGGTGGAGAAGGCGTAGGCTTCTCGATCGGGGGCTTCAAGCTGAACGACTGGCCCATGCACAGTTCTTGAGGGTAGTTTGAAGTTTTGCCAGGAAAACTCTGCCCCGCGATCTCTCTCTGAGGGTGCTTCCCTGCCAGTCCAGCAGGCCCAGCAGCATCCCCACACATTTGCTGCAGATGTGCAAGCTGGTGCTGGTTCCACGCAACCGATTTGATTTCGTTCTGGTAGGCGGGCGGCACCCTGTTAATATTCACCATGGGCACATTAACAGAGGCAGGAGGAATAGCAGCAGCAGCATGATCTACAGGGTTTACTACACAGGAAGGCATGGGTGTAGGGACATTGTGAGTAGATACCCTGGTACTTGCATTGATAAGCAGGTTGCGACTTATAGGGCTGGGGTTTGCAATCTGTCCCTCACAGACTGAGGTAGTGCTAATGCCAGCTCTGGCCTGGCAGAACTGGTTAATCTGGTGCACAATGCTGCTCAGGTCCGGTGGCTGGTTCTGCTGCAGGGTGGCAGCCATAGAGAGGGGAATGGTTGAGGTAGACACGGTCACATTCGGCGGCGCATCTGCATCCGGCATCTTTCTGCTTCCATGTAAACCTGGCTGCAGCAAAGGATTCGGGGGGTGCTGCAGAGTCTGGTGTGCCATGGTCTGAGGATGCTGCAAGCCCTGTGGCTGCTGCATATTCTGAGGGTGCGGCAGCGTCTGCGGCTGCGGTATCCCCTGAGGGTGCGGTAAGCTTTGTGGCTGTGGAATACCCTGAGGGTGCTGCAAAGTCTGTGGCTGCGGTATACTCTGGGGGTGCGGCAAAGTCTGTGCATGCTGGAGAGCCTGCTGGCGAGCAAGCGCCTGGGGGTGGGTTAAAGTGCTAGGTGCAACGTACGGGGTGGAAGGGGGATTCATCATCGCTTCCGGCAGCAGACGCGTGCGTGTCCCGTCAAAGTCTTTGATAATTCCTTTTGCTGGAGATTTGACTATCGCCAGGAGGCCTGTTTTCGTGGTGGCCTGAGACGGGTAGGGACTGTACCTCTGGCCCGAAGTATCAAGTCCGTTCACAGTACGGCGTATGTGTTTCCTCTGGGGAACCTTGACACTGTTTGGAAAAATTTTTATAGTCAGTGGATTGTTGGCGACCTTCTTAGCATAAGCATCCAATTCTGCTGGGGTAGGATACTGTGCAGATCTCATTTTCTGTGTAGTGTCCCCTGTGGAGAAAGGAAATTTGTCAATACCAATTCTGGTAAGCAAGGGATCAACCCCAGGGCAAGACAGTTGCACAACAAGGGTAGAAAATCTCCAAGGAATCAAGAGGCAAGAACTTCATCTTCCCAGACCAGCGGATGGTGTACCAGATACCTCATTCCCTTTATTACCTGGTGACCAACACAACCCCCAGTTCAGCTTAAGGTAAGACCTGCCTGGGGGAGCAAAATGAAACCAGTGTTTTCATTAGAGTGTGTTTACAGTTGGACAAAAATAGGGAACACGCTATGAACATCGGATTGTCTCCAGCTGGAAATATTTCTTATGGCTTGCGGTGGTGGGCTAGTTTCTGCTCTCTTAATTTAAGGCTGCCATCCCATGGCTCTTCAAGCCATTCTCAGTAACTTTACTGTGTAATTCAAGATCAGAAAGTTATGAATTAAACGTTAAACCTGTGTAATGCTGAGGTGGGAACAACACTGTGGAGGGCTGACCCGGGCTGGATGCCAGGTGCCCACCGAAGCCGCGCGATCGCTCCCCTCCTCAGCTGGCCAGGGGAGGGAAAATGTAACGAAAGGCTCGTGGGTCGAGATAAGAGCAGGGAGAGATCACTCACCGGTTACTGTCACGGGCAAAACAGACTCGACTTGGGGAAAATTAGTTTCATGTCTTACCAATCAAAATCAGAGTAGGACAATGAGAAGTAAAACCTAATCTTAACACCTTCCTCCCACCCTCCCTTCTTGCTCAACTTCACTCCCAATTTTCTCTCCCTGGTCCCTGCCAGCGGCGCAGGCGGATGGGGATGGGGGTTATGGTCAGTTCATCACCCGGTGTCTCTGCTGCTCCTTCCTCCTCAGGGGGGAACTCCTCACACTCTCCTCCTGCTCCGGCATGGGGTCCCCCCTGGGCTGCAGGGGGGGTCTCTGCTCCCCCGGTGACCTCCCTGGGCGCAGGGCACAGCTGCCTCGCCATGGGCTGCACCACGGGCCGCAGGGGAATCTCTGCTCTGGCACCTGGAGCACCTCCTGCCCTCCCTCCTTCCTCACTGCCCTTGGGTCTCTGCAGTTGTTTCTCTCACATATTCTCTCTCTTTGGCTGCAGTTGTGCAGTTTTTCCCCCACTTCTTAAACACGTTATCCCAGAGGTGCTACCACCGTCGCTGACGGGCTCGGCCTTGGCCAGCGGCAGGTCTGACTTGGAGCCGGCCGGCATCGGCTCTATCGCACACTGGGGAGGCTCCAAGCAGCATCTCACAGAAGTCACCCCTGCAGCCCTCCCTGCTCCCAAAACCTTGCACATATGAAGCACTTCAGCTCAAGCCTCCATTTACATCCGAGTTCTCTTCTAGATGCTGACATCTGAAAGCACTTTGAGTGTCTTTTTGTCCATTAGGAAGCCCTTGCCAGTCCAAGTTCAGCAAATGGAAGGAGGCTACATGTGCATTATTTTATGGCTTGCAATTATTTCTTCAGCTGAATTTTCAGTGTGGCACCTTGCTAAGGACAGCATCCTTGTATCACACAGCAAAACTACGTGATTACCTCACAAGATTAAAAACATGCTACTCCCCAGACACAGACAGAAGACTTCTGGAGACAGGGGTGTGGTTTCACTTCCTTCAATTACCAGATACCTACCTTGCCCACAAGCTTGAACTGCTTCTAGAAAGAACTTCAGAAATCTAGGGAAATGCTTGTGCCTCTCTCACTACAATCATATTCCAAACAGAGAGTTGGGCTGTTCCCCTACCACAGCTCTGCTGCTTAACTCCTATGGGACTACAACTTTAGAAGTGATTTTATCATCTTAAAATTATGCTTGCAGTTTTGACAATCTGATTTTGCTTTTGCTTGATTTCACTACCACCACCACCTTGCAAATAGTTTACTGGAAAAAAAACACCCATCCTTTTTGCTAAATTTTTCAGCATCCCCATGCCACCTGCTGCTGTGCTGAAAGGATGGGAAACACAGCAGCCAGCTCCTCCAGAGCCCAAGAGCACCCCAGCCCCACATCTGACCCTTGGAAATCTAGTGTTCCAGCAATGAGCTTGATGTTCCCAGGCCAACAGCCCTTCCTTTTGAAAATCCACCTCTGATTCTTTTAAGCAAATTGCCTTCAAAGGACTCCCAAATACATGAGTACCAGCCGTCGGTTTCTCTTTGCATCCTGCAGCTTCCAGCCCTCACAGGTGAGGGAGAGCAGCACTGCTCTAAGAGCACTCACCTTCAGGAAGTAAGGGTCAGAAAATGGAAAACAGGATGGATACCAAAAGAAAGGATAATCACGGAAATCTTAAAAATACCTTTTGTGAAACAGGAAGCTTCACAAGCAGGTTGTCTTGCATCCCTAGCACAGCACATACCACAGCGCCGGTTATACTCTTACTCTCTGTGCTGTCCAAACACCGGGACGTTTCACCCTTAATCAAAGGAAATGTTCATTTGATATTAACCAAAACATCCTCTCTGTTCATAACCCTGTACCTGCTGCTGCAGGCAGATGGCTTCTCTCTGTCCTTCTGAGCGAGCTGCTACGCTCCCAGCAGAGAGGAGAGCCTCCGAATGGCATTTACCAGCACCTCGCCTCAATGGCCAAGGCCTTCACAAACTCCCAACCTTTATTTTCACCCACGCTCATGAAGTTCTGTTTCTTCCCCAAGAGACGACCCTTGCAACTCACCATGAATCAGAGGAGAACCATCAACAATTGCCAAAGGGACCCACACCTGTCTGCGTTATGGTTTATGTTACATTTACAGTCGTTGTCACATAAAGCTTTTTTTTTTTTCAGAGGAAAAATTAAGTTTATACTTTAAGGCATATTTACCATAAAAATTTCCCAGCTTGGTTTACATTTCCATAGGCATATCAGCAAATTATATGGTAAATATAAACACTAAACAGATACACCAAATATTCTTTTAGCCAAGCATCTATTTTTCTGTTATATGGGAACTGCGATGGAAGCTTTGAGAAAGCAGCTAAAATATCAGTGTTTGAACAGGCTGCACCTATCAGTTACAACACATCTGTAATCTCAAATCTGGGAGAATTTACTCCTCTGACGAGAGAAAATAACCCCTCAGTTAAAGTTAGATGACGCACCAGCATCAAGTTTGGCATCCTACCAAACGGCGAACCATCTTTTCAATCCCTTGGACAGGATCTTCTGAAACCAGCCACCATTTCAAGCAGTGCCCATTTTGCATAAAACTAAGATTATGCTCCTTTCACTACAGACTAACTCAGCCATTTTACTTAGGCCTGAAGGTGATGTACTTCTGAGTGCCCCCATGTGCTCCCTAAAATGCGTTTGCTAGTAATTCCATGGGCAAGATTCAGTGACTGTAATTATTAAAGGCAGCAAAAAATTAGGAAAAAGAAGAAAGGCATTATAGGGTGAGCAAGAGTCTGAATATCCCATCGAAATATCCTACAAACCAGTAAAGAACAATTAGGTCTCTGGTAACTAAGTGAATGGAAAGCGAGCTAGAATAGACCAGAAGGCAATGCTGGTATTAGAATATGCTCAATCATTTGTGTGCAGGTGCAAGAATTCTGGATCGGGTCATAAAATGATGAGGTGGATGGCAGATGAACAAGCTACATCAAAAAAAACCAATGGGATGAGCTCCACAAAGCTACCTAATGGTAAATGCGAGGCAGAATACTTTTGCTGAAAAGTCATTATTTCACGTTTACTGTAAGGTAAAGCTCTGCATATGAGCAATTACCCCAATAAATTGGTGAGCTGCAAGTTCACTCTCCTGCTAATCCCGTGGCAACCAATTCATCTGGTCACACTCCTGTGCACGACTCACCGCTGGAACCGTTTTTATCATGAAATGAGATATATTTCTCCGCCTCACCTCAGCACTAATGTAACATCTTTTAAATGCATTTCACATTAAGGCTTTAAAACCCACCGCTTTTAAAACTGCCTACGGTTAAATTTTCATTAACATTAAACAAAATACAAACAGGCCTTCAGGATTTGTATCCTAATGAGAGCATCCGCACTGGGACAAGGAAAAAACAGCTGTGCCCATCTTCTGCATAAAAATCTCAGTTGCTGCAGATTCTCTACAGGCTTTTCAGAGAGCCCTCACTCCTAGAAAGGACTTGATTTAGTTGATGACCCCATATCCAGTCCCAACCTGCTCCTCTTTCTTTTGTGCCCCCCCAACAACAAAAGCTCTCCAAGAAGCAAGTACCTTTCACCTTGACTTTGCACCACTATCACGAAAAATCACCCTTTCTCTCCCAGGCCTTGTGGCACTGTCACTACGTCCAACAGCAGCTGTGGACACTGCCCAAACAAGTCTTGCCTCAAGTATCCCAGTTGAATAGTCAGGTTTATACTGGAGTCACTGGGAGGAAGGAGAAAGAATATCAATACTGAGTCAGTGAGAAATCCCCTGCGTGGATGACAATTTTCAGGGTTAGCCTTTCCTGTGATGCAGGCTGGAATTCAAAGAAAAATGCTGAAATTGGAAGTCCTATAGTGATCGGTTTCTAAAGGACAAAATATGTGCATATTAATCTAAAAAACTCCTACCGCACAGACCACCTTTGAGAATAAAGCCTCTTATTTGAAAGTGAGCAAGAAAAAAAAAAAAAGATAATTGAGCTAATGTGGATTTAAGTGGATCAGTTAATAAAGAGTCTGATTCAGAAAACTACACTTAAAAAATTATTAGTACAAACACTGGAGGTCTGAATAAAGGCTATCATGGGGAGTTCTGTGCCTTTTATAAAAGCAATAGCACTTTTATTAAAGCCCGCTTCCAACCCCCCATCAAAAGTCACAAGTCACCGTTCATTAAAAATGCTCATTAACTCAGCTTTCCTTTGGCCAGGGGCTAGACTGCTTGTGCATATACAGTATGGAGAGAAATGCACCAATTAATCTTACACACATCTGCAGCAGGGGTGAGCGAGGTCTGTACGAGCAGTTTCATTTTCCATATAAATCAGAACAAACTGGAACAGCTGAGCATTACCACTGCCAGTCAGTGCCTGCCAGCTACTTTATGTCCTAAATTCTTTTAAATGCAGCACCCAGAGCTCTTCACTAAGCAGGATACAGCAATGTTTTCAGCACGGGGATCAGCAGCTCTCAGAAAAAGCATCAGGTACCGTCAGGTTAAGAAACTGCCCGCATGTTGCCTTGTAAACGTTTAATTAGCAAATACCTGATTTATGCACAGCTACCCTCACATGAACCTCAACCATTTGCTGTCAGAACTAAGCTTTCTGATCCACCAAAGCAACTTCACACGTAATGCAAGGACCTAGGCACGTTCTCACCACTACAGCAGAGCTTGAACTGGAAATGGAAATGAGAAAGGAGGGGAATGCCCAGTTTCATGCTGTCTAAGGAAGTCCTTTTGTGAGTAAAGCTTTTTATTACTGCCGAAAGTGTCATTACAATTACCAAGCCCATGGAGTCGGCATAAACGCTGTACAAGTGCTGTAGGGGAGCACACATGTGTACGTGAACAGCATCATTCACTTCTGGCAGGGCCAGGACCTTGAGCATGTCACCCTTAATTGCAAAATTATCTTACCTATTTTCAGCAGCATCACAAGCCTTAACATATTAATAATTTAGCTACCACTGGACTGTAAATTACTTGATTTTAAAGAGCAATGAGTCCATCAGACAACTGAGGGTACGGAGTTCTCCCAATACACATTTCACGTACAAGAGACAGGTCACAGCCCTGAGAACAAAGTACACATCTTACGAAGAAACCTTGGTCTTTCTGAAATTCCAGCTGAACAATCAATGTGCAACTTCAGTGATAAAGAGGAGACACAGAGTAAGATTTAAAAAAAATAAATCTACAAGCATCAAAAAAATGACTGAAGTTATCAAAAAAGAATTACCAGAGTTCTCTGCAGGCATAATTTCAGAGGCACCAAAGAGACATCAGAAAGAAGATGGAAACTTTGAACTTTAGTAATTTGGGCTAGATCACTAATATTTGCAGTATATGCCCCAGGTATGTAGAACAACAGAGCTGCTGACCTCAAAAGGTTTGCATTAGCCTGATCCAACTTTTATTGGTGTCTATGAGTAATTAAATGAATGGAAGTGAAAAAGAGTCGGGAAAAAGTGGTGTTAAGAAGCAAGTCAGCTGGCACACTTTTAGGACAAAATGTTTTCAGCAAAGAGGCACAAATCTCACAGAAACCTCGCTTGCATTTCATCTTGCTGTGGTTAAAATTAACCTTTATAGAGCCAGGAATGGAGAAGAGCTCGCTGCACACACGTGAACCTCCACAGCGATTTCCCAGAGCCATTACTGATGGATGCCTTGAAGGCATAACAAAAGAAAGACTCTAACATTAAATAGTTTTTCCACTGTATCCTAAATGTTTATGTCATAGCTGTACCAGAGCCAGATTTAACAGTTAACCACATCCTGCAGACAAAACGTCACTCACATTTCTGAAGTCCAGTGTTCATCTGCGTGTAAGAAAGAAGCTGAAAGGAGAGGTCACCTGGTCCTGGCAGACAGGCCAGCATGGCAGACAGGCACTAACACAACATGGGGCATTCACTCCTCTGCACACTGCAACAACAGAGAGACAATTCAAAGTTATAATACAAGGAGGAACAGAGAAAAGAAAGCGGCAAAGAGCCATCCCTGGGCGAAGGCCTGACCAAGCACAGATGCACAGCTGCTGCTCCAGCCCTCGCTGCATCTCAGAACGGCAACGGAAATACTTCAAGAAGTGGGTCATCTGCAGGGTTAAAACTAAAATAGCCGTCTCGCTCTCCTCTGATGCTTGACACAGAGAGGATAATCCATAACTCTGTCCTCAGATTTCAAAGGTGGTTGTTATGAATGGTAAAGAAACCACCATCATTCATTTTACTATATATTGAAATGCACTGGCTATCTACCAGGTATAGCCAAAGCAAGTCCTCTGGAGAAATCCTGTCAACTGCTCTTTTACATTTAATAAAAAGGCATGGCATGCATAAATTGAAGGCAAAGTATGCAGCACTCTGCCTTGTGGCAAGATTAAGCTACATGCTACAGCTTGTAATTTCTGTGGTCCATTAGGCTGAAAGATGAATGGCTACAACTTCCTTCATTTCATAGGAGACTCGCTAACCTGCGTGGCTCTGGGTTAGACAAACGGCAAGACGTGCCTTCTGCACAAAGGAGCTGCAGAAGGGCCGCCATCCTCTGCTGCAGAGGTTCAGCATTAGGAAATCAAACCTCCAAGTGAATGCACAGAGCACTAAAGCTCTTTAAATATAAACACTGCACAGCCACCCTCGAATCCCATGGTTGGCGTACAAAGGGGGTGTTCCCAGCAACAAAGCTAACTCGGGTTTGAAGTCTCCCAATGTTACTAGAACTACAGAGAGAAATTTAAGTTGGAACAAGGTCTCTCAAGGCCACCTGGTTCAAGCCCCTGATCAAATCCCCCCTGCCGCAGCTACTGGGGCAAGCCACAGCCAGCCATGAGCACTTCAGAAAGCTCCAGGTAACAGGATGGCTGAGCCAAGTGGGAGGAACCAGCTGACTTCTCTTTGCCCAGATCTCAACAAGCATCAGTGCCACTACACAGGGAATGCTTTTGCCAAAACACCTAGAGAACAGCTAGAAAGGCCCTGGGGTTTGTTATACAACCCTCAAAACATGGAAAGAAGGCTTCAAAGGCTTCAAAAGTTATAGGTTGATTTAATTTCAGTCATTGTTTCACAAACCCCAACTAAAACAACTGGGGAGGCATTCGAAGATCAGAAGAGGTGAAGCAGAAAGCTCAAGACCGACACAAGAAGCCACAGCTGCAGAAACCCTGCAGAGGCCACTTCTGAAAGAGTCATATTGCTGAGGACTGCACAAGCGATGTGAATGAAACCTCTGGAAGACCCCCAACGTGGCAACGTCAGTGCTGCCTCCTGGATAGCACCACCACCTTCATGGTCCAGAAAGCTCCAAAAGCCAATTTCTCTTCAGTAACGTTTGAAAGACTTTAATTTGAAACCTCACCTCAGACCACTGTCACAAGTCAGATGGGCCAAAGAATACTTGCACCAACACAGCAAACAGCATAGACTTAAAGCTTTCCTGTAGTAGAGCAATTACTCACTGTGTAGAATTCAGCAGCTCCATGTTTATATGTCTCTCCTCGGTTTAACATGCAAAGGCTGATTAAACCAACAGCCAAGAAATCTCATACAAATACTAATTTATGAAAACTTCTGCATCTTCACTGGGCAAGTGCTCTCAAAATCTGACCGAGTGTTGCTGAGCGAGCCCATCGGGTGCCACTGTGATTAACAAAAGTAGTTCTGGGCACTGAATGTCAGCTTGACAGCTCCATGCTACTGCCCATTCACCCTACCCACTCAGAGTAACGGTGACTCAGTGCCGTGAGAAACAAACACACAACCTCACCAAGCTGCAGGGCAATCGCCAACAGAGTAAGCCTAAATCATTCTCCATTTCATCCCTAGGAGACAGTAATGATCTGCACTACCAAAAGTGCAAGATTCGTAGTTGTAAAATCTCGTAAAATAAATCTAAACCCCGATTTTCTTCTCACCCTCTGTAGGAGGTGGAGTTCTTGGAGTCTTCAGAAGGTGTTCACAAATGATGACTGGAGATCTGTCACACCCACAACTTAAAAGAAATTGCTTTAGGAACTGAAACGTTGCTTGACCTTTATAGATGAGATTCATTCATGACTATAAGCATGCAATGTTCGGTGAAACTCTGCAAACACCCTGTGGGCAGCAGTTGCTTGACCCCAATCATGCCCAGCAAGCCCAAAGAGACAAGACAAGAATCCAGCTCCTTTGAATCAGAAGACAAAATTACTGTGAGCTGCCAAGAGCTTTACCCGAGTAAGCAATGAAAACACTCACAGTCAGCAAGAAAAAAAAAAGAATTGTATTTTCCTTTTTTGCCTCATTTCATCAACTTCAGAAGACTGGCAAAAACAAGACCTATTTCTCAGTGAAAAGCAGACAAACAAAATTAAGCAGTCAGAAAAACCATCAGATCACACCATCCCCACATTAACCTGAGCATCTACCTTTTACTGCAGTAACGTCTGACGCCAGCCCAGGATTACTTCCCGTGTTTGCACGGCCCACGGAGCTCGGTGTCTAAAATATTACTTAAGCAGTGGCAAGTTTGTGGTGCAGCCCCGAAAGAGAGAAAAGCGTTTTGCAGCGCAGCACTGCGCTCAACGTGCTCTTTGACTGAACAAGTAGCATTTCTGACAGGCAAGATATGCGGAGGGTTTGCTCACCTGCTCCATCATTAATGCTCATTATAGCCTGAACACTGTGACTCTTTGAGTAAGCCTCTTGCTGAAGTGCCACAGAGAGGCTCAGCGCCACGCACACAGCAATAAACAGGATAATGGCACATTAGGAGAGAACAAGTGATTAAGAGCGGTCACAGAATTCGACGCAGAAGAGCCAGGCTTCTGCGATAAGACAGCAGTATTTCCTTGAAGGTCAAAACATGTATTTACAGAAGCTTTAGCTCCAATACAGAGAGTAATGTTTTAGAGAGGGCTATAAAGGCAAGTTGTTCCCGCAGGCGGATAATCATTTAGGCAATGCCAAAGGTTCATAAAAGACTGGGGTGGCAATAATCATTTTAAAGGAAATACTGGACTTAGGAAAATAATTTTAAGTAGAAGCATAAAATCATTCTTTTAGCTTGATTTGCAATAACCAAATTGATGCCATCTAGGTCACTGCTGAGCATTAAAAAAAGAAATTCAGACTTACAGAAGTGCTGACCATAACTCTATCGCTGAATTCCATATTATAATTAAAACCCTGCTCCAATTTTTGTTCTCCACGAAATTAATATAGTCTCTCAAAAACAAGATTTCAGTATTTAAAACCAAATGCATTTGAAATGTCTTTACAAACAAGCTTGGGTTGGGTTTTTTTTTTTTGGTTAGAAATTAATTAACATTTATTCCCTTTGAGATACTCAGCACCTGACTACTACCTTCTGACCTGACTCTCCTTCAGAGGAGCTAGCGCAGACAACTCCAACACACCATTCAGCTCTAAAATGCCCTGAAATCCCCACACAGACTGCATTTGGGGTTGGGGTGAGCATTCATGGCTGTCTCACACCGTTGTTACGTGCAGTCCCAGCTTGGCAGCGCAGGGTCCTGACACAAAGGCAGCTGGGCCCATCATCCCCTCCTGCACTTGGCTTTATTACTTCTAATTAGTCCAGAGGAGGAGATAAGCTGAACTTGGCACGTCAAGACCTCTCCCTAGAAGACTTGGCTCCATGGTGGCAACTTGTGTGGGCACCAGCACCTGCAAAGCTCCCTGCAGGGCTGCTGCCCCAGTCCCCCCGAGGATGGGAGGTGTGTTACTGGGGGAACTGGAACGGACGCAGCGAACCAAGCACCGAAGGGGCTTCTGCACTTTTACCAGATGTTATGACCCAGACTGGGAGCCCATGGAGTCATAAAGGTTTTGTGATTCCCCTGGGTTAAAAATAAGGTGAAATGACAGCAAACAAACGGTTAAAATATTTTACTTGCAGTGGAAACAAACTTGGAAAAGGACAGTAAGTGGTGGCCTGTTATTGATAAATCTGAAAGGGAGAGGAGGAGGAGGAGGAGAGGAGAAGGAGAAAGTCAAAGAATCCGGATCACCACCCCAGGTTCCACTGTTGTCTTGGGTCTGGTGACCTTGGGTGGTGGGTGCACACCCAACAACATTTTCTGTCACCTTTTAAGTTCATCTATTGGCTGATTTGCACACTAGATGAGGAGAGGTGGGTTTTGCATGAACAACTAGCATGGGAGACGAGGAAAGGTGAAGCATGGATTCCGTGCATGCGTTGAGGGGGAAAGGGGGTGCATTAACCCTTTTGTCCAATTGAGTTCGTGGTCGCAATATCCCGCTGCCACCTTTACCTTTTGCCCAGTTACTGCTGGTTTTCGCTGACTTCATGCTTCTCAGGCAACCATCCAGCCTTTGGCTCCTGCTGGGGCAGATGGTCCCCTCTTATTAGTCTTTTAGCTCTTCTTCAAGGGCACAGTCACTAGCAAGGCCCGCATCGTTTATATGAAGTATCAGGCTTACACAAAGTGCAGCAAACAGTTCGATGAATGTCTGAGGCATTAACTCCTTCAGTTCCTCACACCAGACTGGGTGACACTGTCATCTAAACCAGTCAGCTGCAAACTGGAGAGCAAGCTGACCAGTAAATTTGACACCCAGCAATGGAGGGCAGCTGTAAAACCCTTCAAGTTTTTCAGTTGTATTTTAAACTGATTCTGTATACTGCCAAACAGCATAACAAGCTCTGTCTTGAAAATATATATAAAAAGATAAAGTATATTTCTAGATGAAAACAATCATTAAATTGGAATAAATAAATAAATTCACCTCTTTGAAGTGATTTTAATCTAATCTGGCTGCAGGATATAATCTTAACAGCACACATACTGCAGGACGGTCTATGAAATAGCAGGTTTAGACACATGAACAGATTTTTTTTTTCTCTTAAGATTTATTAATAATTAGATCAAAGCACATCAAGCTTAAGAGGGATTTGTA